CATCCAACAAAGATGGAATACTTAACTGTGCTGATGTAATCCAGACAATTTGTCTTCGTTTCCTGTAGCTCTTCTCTCTGATAGGCTAGTGATGAACACAGGCCCCTTGTCACAATGATTTCTAATTTGTTTTTGTTCTCAAAGTATGACATAAACAACTAAATTTCTTGTATAAGCGCCTCGGATGAGCCTAATTTGGAATAGGATTAGTTCTACCTATCTTGTTTTTACACATCTTTTTAATCCAATTGCAGAATCTCCTGGGCAACTTTGATTTTATCTTCAATTCAGCCTATATCCTACATGCTCATTAAATCTCGCAACCTTTTATTCATTTGCAGTTTGGATCATCATCCAAGTCATCAATTGAGTCAAGTGTGCATTTAGGATGCAGCCTTACAACAGATCCATTAATCAGCTTCCTCTGAATCTGGTTACTGACCAGGTTCTAATTTACCTAATCGTCTGTGTATGGCTCTGTGAAACAACATTAGATTCTGAAGTATTTTTCCTCCCTTTGCCTCATCAGAATCACTTATAGTTTCATTCTCAGAATTGTATCCCATCTGGTGTCCCCATATAGGTCTTTTAACCTTTTTTGCCCTCTGCAATAATTGTTTGTGTCCAGTCTTTTCTTCTTTAGCAATCCAGAACTTCAGAGCAACTGCACTGCTTCCTAGTAATGTTCTGTCACTTTAACTTCACCAATTCATTCTTTCCTTTAGACTCAGGTCAGGGATAGCAGTTACTTTGGTCATGTGTACTCTCTTGTCAATTAGTCAGAAAGGCAAGAACCCGGCAGTGAGATCTGCAAGGTTTTAGATACAAAAGTTCTCTCAGGCAGTAGGATTCAGTGTCAGTTTATTGAGATCTATTTACTTGATGCCTTCAACCAGTGTTTCCCAAACTGAACCAAGGAACACTGTTGTGAAATGAAATTATTAGGGTCTCTGGTATAAAAGACTTAAAAGATTTCTTTACTGCAGGTGGCTTTTAATATGCTTTGTCAAACATAAATACTAAGAAAAACATTGCAGCCCCATTATGTATTTTTTGTGAGCCTCACTGAGTATCACACATTTTTTAATCTTGTTATTTTCTCGTGAGAAGCAAGTGCTCAAAAGTTTATCTATTTGTTTGCTTTTACTGTCTCTATTTTTTTAACCAGATTTTTATTCCTTAAATCTTAGCAGAATCTTCTACTGCCTAGCTTTCCTTTCTATTTCCTCTAGTCTGTTTAGGAGCTCTTTATCCTTAGAAGCCACAGGATTCATAACTTTCTCTATCTCTCTCTCTCTTTTGTGCTGAGTATTTGGGAGAAATAAGGAAACCAAAGACTGGAATTTAGAAAAGGTTCTTCAGGCTCTTTACTTGCTCATCATTTTGCACCTAATGCATGCATACTTGCCACTAGAATAGAATGTAGGACATTGCCTGACCGTTAGCTGAAAACTGCTGCTCCCCAGAAGCCTTTGATGGAGACAACATGTTTTCTAACGTACGACTGACTGAATCGTCAGTACTTTCAGTTCACACAAAATTTGACAGAATTTGGAGGATGCTGCTGTCTCACACTCCTATAAAGTTATTTTGCCATTATTCAAGATTAAGTTGTAAAACAGAGTAGAGCCATTTGTAAAATGATTCATTTAAACAGAAAGAATATATGAATTTTATGTGCAGCAAAATCTGAATTATATACTTTGCTTTATTGTGAAATCTGGAATATTTTATCATCACTTTTTATCTTAAAGGTAAATCACAATATATCATATGTTCATTGAAAGTAATTCTTTTAAAAATTTGCCCTTTGCTTTACAGATTTTAAATCATAACAGAAAAAGAAGTAAATATTGTTTTGCCAACACACTCCATTGTTCCAAGAACTTTTGTGCTTAAACCAGGAATGGTTCTATATTTGGGTACCATAGGCCATATAGATTTTCTGTAGGTGAGGAAAGTCTGTACCACTAAAAATGACTTAGTATTGGGATTTACTTTAAGGAAGCAGATAGATGAACAAAACTGGCAAGATGTTGATAACTAGGTCTTCCTTTTGTAGGGCTGATATACTGTTCTTTTGTGTGTGTATGCGTGTGTTTGAAAATGTCTGTAATAAAAACTTAGGAAAAGGAAATGGGAAAAAAAAAGTACTAGGTATTAAAACCTATATTTTCAATAGGAAGTTGAGTGCCCCATACACCTTGGCATTAAGAAAAGATATTTTCTGTCTCCTGTGGTATTGTTTTACATGGAAGTCAGAGGTCACAAGTTTAGGTACAGAGCTTATATGCATTAATTAAATTCTACACTTTTTATATCCCATGCTATGTATACTTTTACATATTTTTTTGTTTGGTATTCATTTACATAGCATCATTCAGGGATTTTAGAGTATCTGTAGAATTGATTCCTGTTTTGCCAAAGTGAAGAGAAAAAGGAAAATGAAACATGGATATGCCCAACAGCACTGAATGTAATTTGCAGGCCATTGCCTAGAACAACTTCTTGGGTTTGTGTGGGTTTATAATTTGCTGGAAATTTGGCCTTACACACTTAAACCCTGTATGTATTCCCTTAGAGCTCATAGAATGTTAATATTATAAACCTAACTTTATACAGGGACAGTTAAAGTAGACAATATTTCCTTTTCCTTTTTATAACAGAAGCTGTTGTGGTTGTTTTTGTTTTTGTTTTTTATTAAGTATCAGGAAGCCTATGAAAGGAATCATAGTTCCATGGACAGATGAAATGCACTGCTTCTGCCATATTTTGCCCCCCCCCCTTTTTTTTAGGCATTACTTTTATTACAGCTGCCATATCAGTATTTTTTTAAACAATTTTTTATTGAGTTATAGTCATTTTACAATGCCATATCAGTATTTTAAAAGGGAGTTTGATTTTTTTCAAATTGTACCTTGCAATGTACTAATTTTACAAGTTTTCCATTGTTTAAAATAAGTTCTTTCTTCCTTTCTTAAGGGAAATCAGTCAGCTTGGTTTATAGCTGTGGCTTCAGACTTCCTTCCCGTGCACATTACTTCCTTGGACAAGGCAGATACTCTGTATCAGAAGCGGGTGGGTCATACATTACTCAAGGTGAGAGGACAGGCTTTGACAGTTGCACAGTTAGGTTAACGTCCCCTGTGATAGTCCCACAGCCCTGTTAAGAAAGCCTTTGTTGGACAGAACCAACTTTGTTATACCATCAGCTAGCTCTCCCCTGACCTTGTTCACCTTGAGGATTTTGGCTATAAAGTGAGGTGGACTCTTACAAGAAAAGAGATGTTGGATTGGACTGATCCTGGAATAGTGACAGAGCTGGGTTTTCTCTAGGTGACAGTATCCAGTATGGTATCCATATGTGGCTATTTAAATAAACTGATTAAAAGTAAATAAAATTTAAAATTCAATTCTTCTGTTGTAGTGGCCACTTTTCAACTGCCCAACAGCCACGTCATTGGAGAAAGTTGTATTGGATAGTGCTGAGTGAAGAGAAGTTACAGGTATTCTCACAACTTGGGGTGCTGCTGGCATCTAGAGGGGGAACCCAGAGAGGATGCTAACCATCCTGCAGTGCACAGGACAGCCCCCACAGCCAAGACTTACCAGGTGCAAGATGTCAGAAGTGCCAAAATTGAGCAGTCATCGTTGGGGTGGAAAAGCTGTCCTCCCAGGTTCTTAATCCCAGACACAGAGTTTCGTACCTCTTCTCTCCTGCTCTGCTTGTTCCTAACTTCAGCCCATGAGTAGTGTGTTAAAATTTCTCCAATCTTAGAAAGACAAGCATCGTATGATTGCATTATATGTATTTAAAAAAAAAAGATACAAATGAGCTCATTTAGAAACCACAAATAGACTCATAGACAGAGAAAACAAACTATGGTTACCAAAGGGGAAAAGGGCTGGGGGGAGGGATAAATTAGGAATTTGGGATTAACAGATACACACTTACTATATATTAAAATGGATAAACAACAAGGACCTACTGTATAGCACAGGAAACTATATTCAATATCTTGTAATAACCTATAATGGAAAAGAATCCAAAAAGTATATATATATGTATATGTATATGTATAACTGAATCACTTTGCTGTATACCTGAAACTGACATAGCATAAATAAATAGTTTATCTGCATAATACTGTAATTGATCTAAAATACAGTTATCTGTTAAATGAAATGTTAACTATTAGTCTCTCTGGTTACTAGCATTTGAGATAGTTTTTATTTTCGTGTATGTGAATATTTTCCAAATTTTCCTCAAGAAACATTCTGATTATATAATTGGTAGCAATAAACGTTATTTCACATGATTAAAAAAATTTTTCTCTGACCTTTAAAAAACAAAACAAAACTCAGTGTTCTGCTCATTCCTTCTCTTCACAATCTAGCTTATTCCTGCTCCTCACATCCCATCCTCTGCAGTCTGTGGCCCTTTCTGTGCCACTGAAATTGTTCTTACTAAGTTCTCCATAGACTGAGTAGGGACTGTTCAGCTCTAACCAGACATGCTATAGACACTGTTGGCTAGTGTATAACAGTTAAGATCATTGGAACCACTGGGTTCAAATCCCGCTCTGCTCCACCACTTAACAAAGCTGTGTGACTTTAGGCAAGTTTCCTTCACCTCTGTCCCTTGTACCTATGTCACAAGGTTGTGGAGAAGATTAAGTTCCAGGGCACTGTTGTAACTGCTATGTAAGTATCTCTGATGATGATGATGGGATGTATTTACTGCAAAAATAGTAGGTGCATCCAATGCAGAGGTGATTTACCATTAACTAATGCTCATGCAACCGAAAATAAGTCAACATGCAAAATATACACACACTCTTCAATGAGGATAAAACCAACCTGACTTGAGGAGTAAATGCTGCTTTCTCTCTGGATTTCCTAAGGAAGCCAGAGTGAAATTAAAACTCTTTTGAAATAACTGCCCTAAAGTTAATACTCCAGAGACATGCAGGAGTTGCAGAGTAGTGAGCATATAAATGTAAGGAGCAATAAAGGATCTGTCCACTTTTCTACATAAAAGACCTTAGTTCTGTTAGATTTGTTTTCTTTTTGGGTAAAACAATAACATACAAGTTGAAATGCAGATTGAGATTTCTAGGAAAGGAAACGTCCTTAATTTGTTTGGCTCTCATAAAAATGAACACTGTGGTGGTCTACCCTCATGCATCTATGTAGTTCTCAAAATGGACATCCCTGATACTTCTCAGAACAAGAATCCCAGGCTTCTCTCCCTCCCAGTGTAAACACAAATGGTTTCTTGGGCTGCTCTGAAACTCATTCTTGCCTCCTTACCCATCTCCTAAGTCCAAGTCTGTCCTGCCTCCTAATATCCCTGAATCCAGCCTTGTACTTTAAGCAAGCTGCTTACACTAGGCTGTTTTTGATCCTTATTTTCTCAGCTTCCAGTTTTTACTGCCCTCCTCCTACCCCACCCCACTAGAGCTGTGGTTCTCAACCAGGGTTGACTCTTAGCCCAAGGGGCCATCTGGCAAAGCCTGGAGACACTTTTGGTTTCATAATTTAAGGGATGCTGAGCAGAAGCTCCTAAAAATTGTGCAATGCACAGGACAGCCTCCCCCTGACAAAGAATTACTCAGCCAAAAATGTCAACAGTACTGAGGTTGAGAAGCCCTGAACTAGGGAGATTTTTCCAAAATACGAAACAAGTCACAGTATTCTTTTTTTATCCTTACTTCTTTCCTACTTAAAATTCCTTGGTAGCTCCACAGTACTGAGAGAAGTCTCATAACTAATACACGTGTGCACACACACACCCACAAATTAAACTACAGTTCCCTGAACTCATCTTCTTTTCAGTCTTGGTGTCTGCACGTGATTCTAACCCAGAATACCTTTCCACTGAGTAACTTCAACCTGTTTTTCAAAATACTGCTCTTCATCAATGTTTTCCTTGACTGAAACACTTATTACTTCTTCCTCCACAACCATAGTATTTAATAGATGTCTCATTGCATTTCGTACCTTGTAATTTGTTTACATGTTATTTCCACCTTCTGATCTACTTGGGAGCAGAAGCCATATTGTAACATCCGTCTTGGTGTCCTTACTGTAAAACAGAGAGATCTGTTAATAAATAGGTAAATTATTATCCAGTTACTTCCAACCCATGGAAACACCTGTAAACAGAAACTGAATCTTATCCATTATGCGTGGACCCGTGACTTGTAATGAGGTGGGGATTAATCTCAGTCCAGCCAGGCCCTTAAGAGCTAAGGTATTTGAAAGGATGTTGCCTTAATTGCCCAATATTATGTCGTAGAGCTGTAAAAATAGCTAATAAAGGAAGATTCTGCTATCTGGAAGTTACCACCAGATGGATGCCCACATGGGGCCCTTGACACTGGGAGTGTTTGGGGTTTTTTGTTTTTTGATTTTGATTTTGAGAGGGGAGGAGGTAATTAGGTTTCTTTCTTTCTTTTTAACTGTAGGTACTGGGGATCGCAGGACTTCATGCATGCCTGCTAAGCACACGTATTACCACCGAGCTGTATCCTCCCACTGGGAGTGTTTGAAATGTTTAAATGTTAAACAGTTTAATGTTTAAAAAGATTTTATTCTTGATACCCTCCCAGAATTATCTTATCAGTGCTTTACTTAGAGTTATGAGGTGTTTAATGTGAACTTCCAAATATCTTCATTTTCTCCTCATGGAAAGAATGGCAGGATTTCCTCCTCTTGTTGCTGAAGACATTACATTAGACGAAGGACCTGGGGAATCTGAAGCAGTGGCTGATACCAAGTTCTCCTCTGCAGGTAATTTTACACCAAGCACTTTTTAAAAGGTAAATAAAGTAGCCTTACTAACTTATAGTACATTTTTATACAAATGTACCTTAAATGACATAGCAGAATATTTTAAGAAATACATAGTAGTTTATTCATAAGATGCAAGCTACTCTGAAAATAAATTTGTACCTTTTCACAAATGCATTGTATGTTTTTAAAAAAAAAATGAGTAAAAGACAACAGCAGCCTCCTTTGGGTCTCCATTCTGAGCTGTGTTTGGTGTTTTTGGTAAGGTGGTTGCAAACAGCGTTTGTGCTCTGCCCTGTGCCTGCATAGGCTGGGTCGCAGTAACGCCTCAGTTTAAAGACAGACTGCACCTCTGAGGCTATACACCTCAAGGAACAGTACTGACGGTCCGGCCCCTGCTCTTACCACATATCGTCAACATCACAGGAGAGCGCATCCCAAGAAGCGCGGCCTATAAAACCAAGAAGCCTCCTTCCCTTGTGTACAATCTGCAGAAAAAGAAAAGAAGATAAATATACGAAGCTGACCTTGTTCACAATGAAGATTAACCATATAGAACATATTACATATGTTGAATTTTGTTAAATATCACCGTAATAAAGCAACCCCCACCTTCCCCTTTTTAAACTACTCTGGATGATGCCTCTCTTTAAAAAAGTACTGAATTTCTAAACACAAGTTGCTTTTTTGTATAGTGCATATATGTGTTTGTGACCCAAATATACCTAAAAAGGAGTTCTGCTACATTCGGGTTTCTCCCGCTACTTTTTTTTTTTTTTTACATTATTGTTTTTTAATAGACTATTCTTTTAGATCAGTTTCAGGTTCACAACAAAATTGAGCAGAAAATACAGTTTGCACATAGCAAACCCCATCCACACATACATACTCCCCTACCCTCAACATCCCTCATCAGTGTGGCATATTTGGTACAATTGATGAACCAACATGGGCACATTATTATCAGCCAAAGTCCATAGTTTACATTAGGGTTCACTCTTGATGTACTTCCACTACTATTTTTAACTGAGACCAGATGGCATTTCTTATTTGGAGTCTAGTTGAGAGAGCAACTTAGCAGTTAGCATATGAAAGAATTGGCAGAAAAGCAGTTTTTCCAAAATACATTGCCTTAAATGAGATAGAAGTAAGTGGCTCTGCTTCATGAAGTCACCTCAGGACCCAACAGGGGGAGCACTCCATGGCTTCCATCTCTGGGTCCACGGTGGTTGCTCAAGTTGTCATCTTTTTGCAGCAAGTGGAAAGAGGAGAAGAGAATGAAGAGCACACAGCTCCCCTGTTTAAAAGAAGGGGGAAGCTGGAAGTTGCAGACATGACATCATCCATTGGTCAAGAGTTACATGGCCACATGCCCCACAGGGAAGCTAGGGGAGTGGAGGGAAATGAGGATTTCAGATTTTTATTAAGAAGGGGCGAATAGATGATGGAGAACAATTAGAAGTTTACCTTACATAATCTAAAAGTACCTGAAAACCTTAAGACAAAAAAGGATTCAAGTTACATCTTCCTGAAATCTGAAGTCTATTCTCCAAGTATCAGAACACTAACCATTTATCAACATTTGCCTGTAAACATGGCATAACGTTACGTCAGTCAGAAAATTGTGCTTTACACTGGAATTTGAAACAACATTGTAAAATGATTATAAATCAATAAAAAATGTTAAAAAAAAAGTTACATCAGTCACAAATCTTTTCATTTAGATACTCCTAGTTGAGTAAGTGGCACTATATCGTGGTACAATGAACAATTATTGAGTCAAGTCCCAGATCTCATTGTTGAGATAAATGCTTATAAAGTAAACTGGCCTGAAACGCAGATCCAGAAGCATCCTGTAGACTCAGGTTTATCATGAACTGCTTGACAGTCCCTTGTTCTCTGTCACCGGGTACACTCTGACCTCACTCAGTCACTCATCTTAGAATAAAGGGTTAATATTTTCATATGCAACTCGTGAAAACTTTGTAGATCTCACTTCCATCATGTTTCAAGGTGAAGACTATTGGTATCTTGGGGAAGGTAGTTCTTTGTGTATAAATTACATGTAAGTGTTTCTAGTATTCTTCATCCCTAGACACTAAATGCCAGTAGCAACTCTCCTGCCCCATCCCTCATTGCGACAATTGAGACATATCCCTGAAGTTTCCATACCCACCCTCTACAATTAGTGGCCTCCTAAGTAGGGAAAATTGACTGGTAGTTGATATATAGTTGTTTATTTTGGACAGAAATACCATTATTTTTACAAATTAAAATTGTGGCCATTATATTTCTATCTTCTGTTTACTGGAGCTTAGACCTAAATCTTTAGATTAAAATGAAGAAAATATGGTAAACTTGGCATTTATGGAGAAATTCAGAACCCAAAAACGAACGTTGTCTCTACTCTGATAACTTACTTAATATGTATATTAGAAGGCAAATCAGTTCTCCTTCCTTATCTTATCCTTAGGCTTTTTGGCCTCTTGACTAGCAAAAATTCAGTTTTTAAACATTCATAATTTATATTCTTAAAACTCTTTTACCTCTAAAATTTAATGGCTTTGTTTTATAAAGCTTGACTGAAGCATATCTAAAAATGTTCCAAGGTATATTGCTAGGAGTTTCAAATAGTGCAATTTACTAAGTTAGTTTCAGTTTTCCTGGTTATATTAATGTCTTTGGGTTTTAATTTTCTCATCTATACAATGAGGGAATAACACTAGATATTTCTCAATCCTGATGTTTCATGATTCTCAGCAAAAACAGGCAAGAAAGCCAGGTAAAGGGTGGTTACAGTATCTCAGACCGAAAGACTCTCTGTGCATAGACAGTGGAGAACCACCACTAGGATCTATTAATTTACTCCACATTGGGCCTACCTAATGCAGCCCAGGATCAGGGCTGGTCTATCCAACTGGTCAACAGTGGATTTTGCAGTAAGTAAGTTTTTTTTACTGTGTTGGTTTCTAAGCTTAAGTAAGTTTATGGATGCTTCTTAATCCATTAATCTTAGTTTGAAGACTGCGCTTGAATCACTATCATTTACACTATGGCAGCATGCAGGAACTACTTAAGTGGAGAAATTAATGGCAATGTGTCAGCACAGCCCCCTCACTGCCACAAAACAGAGGTTGTTTTGAGGGGCTAGAAAACCATTAAGCAAGTTTATAATAGTTTGTTTACTTGGATCTGCACCCTTGTGGTGTTCAGAATGTCACTGCTTTTGTATTCGTGATACCTAAAATAAGATTCATCAAAGGGCTTTTTGACTTCTGTGACATTAAGTGCAGTTTTATTCGTAAAAGTTCCATCATATCTCTTTCCCTCTCTTTAAAACAGCATTTTCTTCAACATTAGAGACAAAGTGAAGTTTAACATAGATCTTGTATTTTTTATCACTACAAAAGGCGAGCCCTACCAATCATTAGGCCTTACCTGCATAGTTCCCCAGAGTCTAAATTTGTCACTTGTGACACTTCCCATGATAACCAAGAAGTGGAGTACAGATGCAATCATGTGTGCTTGTGTTTCCTGATCATTCAGACACTTCTTGCAAAATGGAGATCAAGGCGAGTTTCCTACAGATGACTAACTTGGAGCTCCAGCTGTGCCAGACATGGCAGAGTGGTTACTGCTCCACTGCATAGGCACCCAGCACTAAAGCTAAGGCGAGCTGTTTTGTAGACCAGCCTCTGATCATTTACCCTGGCTTCCCTCCCACTTGGCTCTGTCTCGTGGAGCAATACAATCATTTCCACTCCTCAGACTGTTCCATTTTCTCTTGGCTGCTCTCGTCCTCCCAGGGGGATTGTTTTCTCTCAACTGTCAAAGAGTAATGTTTAAACAATAAAAAACAAGACTTCAGACTCATGTGAAGTGAACAGATAGCACCTCTACTTGCTCTTAATGTCTCTGTCATGTTGTCTGCCCATTGATGTCCTGTAGTGGCTGGGGAACAGCTGAAGATTAATACTCCAACACCATGTAGGAATAATGCCTCACTTTTTCCCTTCATGTCAAAGACCATCAATAGTCTCTCATTTAGTACCAGAGTTTCATGATCTAAACACTCCTAAGTCTAGAGCATACTTAATATACTCATGGCTTGGACCTCAGGTTCCTGTTTTTCAGAAGCTTCCTTTCAGTTATTGGATAATTCTCAGAATTTACCTTCTGAGTAATCAGCCTAGTGGAAGAGTTTCTTTGGTCTCAATATTCTCACTGGTAGGTGCAATAGGTATGATATTAATCACAGACACTGTCAGTATCTCTGACCAGTAGTGTTGGTAAATTTGAGAAAACTGAGGCCACACACTCAAAAAAGACACGCATGTACTAGAGACCACATCATCAGGTGATTTTGAAAGTGAGTGACTGCCAAGATCTCTTCTAGGTTTTCAGTAAGCGCCTGGAAAATAGCAGGTAATCATTGCATGAGTGAATGAATTAGAACAAGGGTGCTTTTTTGTTTGGTTGGTTTTTGCCTTCCCTGAAAAACAGCAAGAAAGCAGACTTAATTTGCTTAGTTAACACTGACACCTTTCTCAAGTTTTTTCCTTTTCTGCCTAAAGGAAAGTATCTCAGGATAATTGTATTTCAGAATATTCATGGCTGCTGTAATCATACGGTAGCCTATATACCTTCTTTTTATTCCTTTACTTTCTTATATAGTAACTAGCCCTATTTGGCAGGTACAAGGGGCTGGGCACTGTTTTAAGCATTTTACATGTGTTACCTGAATCCTTAGAACAACCCCATGCAGGAGGTATGTATTTTACTACTTCTATTTAGAGATGAGGAAGCCAAGGCACAAGTAACTTGCCCAGCATCACGCAACTAATGAGCAACAGAGCTTGATTCAGACACAAGGCCCAGCACCCTGTGGGGCTGTTTAATTATACAGTAAAACTGACCGTTTTTTCTTTTCAATGTACAGTTTTATGAGTTTTAACATACGTATAGGTTCATTGAACAACCACCAGAATCACAATACAAAACGGTTCCACCAACACCCAGGTTTTCAACCACCACACAATACTTCCTCTGTATACCAGAGCCCCTCCCAAGTCTAAAGGAAGGAACTATTCAGCCTTACGAGGGAAACATGTTATTTCAGAAAAGAAAGGCAACCTACTTTGAAGACCTCCAAAGGTAATGACACAATGTCCTTGGAGACACTGTCACTGCCTCTTAGTTCCCTTTCTAGCTTCCTTTGAATCCCCTCATATACAATTCCAGCCTGAGAAGAGTATTTCTCAAAGCCAGTATGTGCGTGTGTCTGATGTGCTACATCCTTGCTGTCTTACTCCAGCAATGCTGCCCAAACCTAAACTAGGGTCCCAGGGTAATTTCCATGCTGTCTTACCATCTTAGGTAGTTTTAAATCAAATAAACCTGCTTTCATGGCCAGCTGGGAGTCTTTTCACATTGCTGGTGAGCTTTGCCAAGTACCACGGACAGATCACAGCATGGGTGGAGATCCTGACCCACAAAATTCTGATTAAGAAAATAGGAAATTACATACACAGTAAATTTGAAATGCAAACATCCAAAGAATTACACCATTAAACTATCCGAAAAAAGCTGTGATTCAAAATCCTGGCCCTATTAAGTGACGGAAAAACAGGAGGTCCCTATTTATTCACAAATCAAATAGCTTCAAAAACCAAATTTGAGACTCGCAGACATAGTAAACAATCTTATGGTTACCAGGGGGAAAAGGGGGTGGGAAGGGATAAACTTGGGGGTTAAATAAAGATTTACAAATATTAACTACTATATGTAAAAATAGATTTTAAAAAAACAAGTTTCTTCTGTATAGCACAGGGAACTATACTCAGTATCTTATAATAACATTTAGTGAAAAAGTATATAAAAATGAATTGAATATATGTGTATGTATGACTGGGACATTATGCTGTACACCAGAGATTGACACATTGTACCTGACTATACTTCAATTAAAAATATATAAATAAATAAAATGGGGGGAAAAAATTTGGCCGTGGACTTGCCTAAATGACTTGCTTTTTCTACTTGTATAGGAGTCCTCTTGTTTCCCGTTCCTTTTTGTTTCTTACTTTCACTAAAATGGGATCCTGTTTGCCCAGTTAAAATCTTTTTAGTTATCTCTGTTTTCCTCAGCAATTAACGTCAGGCCTAAAATGATTCCTTAGAAACTCTGGTTAAATATTCAACAGGAAGGAAAATTAGAAAAATGGGTACTACTTTCCCTAAAATACCAGACAGAAGATTTTATTGAAACACTAGCTAAAGAGAGTATCTTTTTCTGTGCACAAGTAAGGCTATTAGGGAGAGGGAATTCTGAGGAATGTGTTGAAGATTTGTAACATGGGAATGTGGATGAGACAGTTCAACAAAGGAAAACAATGCTTAATGGTCCCATGCACCCACGAACTCCCCTGTTCAGCATGGCTTCAGTCTCTTCTAGGTGTAATTGCTCATTTGTCAATTGGAAATGCTTTTTTTTAACTAGATTGAGGGCATAATTAGGTTTGTAGCCACATCTACTGCTGAGTAGTTAACCACCCCAAAACTTAGTGGCTTGAGCTTACATTTGCTCCCACCCTTTAGTTTGGCAGTTTGATCTGGGGGTTCTTCTGCTCTATGGGGACATGCATTTGCATACCTCACTCCATGTAAGGAACTTCAGCTGGAATGTTCTTAGAGCTGGGAGACCTGGGTCTGTTTCCCTGGGTCACTCTCACCTATGATCTCCTCCTGAAGTGGGCCAGTTCAGGCTTGTGCACAAGGTGATCGCGCTCAGAAAGAGCATGAGAGTAGACGCTGCAAGGCCTCTGGAGGCTGGAGCTCAGAAATCACACAGTGTCACTCTGCTGTGCTGTACTGGTCAAAGAAAGTAGCTACAGCAGCACACATTCAAGCTGACTGCAAAGAATCTGTGGCCACTTTTGTCCACCACAAGGTCTCAGCATGTTCATCACCT